TTACTATTTTTCAACCAGATCTCTTATAATTGAAACATTCAAAACATTTGGAACGTTCAATTATATATACTTCAATTATATATAGTGGATGTTAATGATAAAATAAGTATGTACATCTAGGTTAGCTCGTAACTTATTATTTTTGATCATTTAATAATTTATATATCGCTAAATCTCTGTATTTACTTATTATTTTTAGACAAAAATATTAATTAGATTTATTAACAATATTTAAAGTGTAAAAAAAAAAAGATATTGGGATAGTTGATGCTTTTATGAATATTGTGTTAATATAAAAATTAATTTAAAACATTTTAATCATGTGTATAAATTTTGTAACATATTTCTTAGAAAGAGCTAATGTGTGTGACGATAAATATCTTTTTTAAATTTTATTATGCGTCTTGCGAAATTGTTTTGCTCGAATTTCAAACTAAATTCCGTAAATTTTTTTCCTATTACGGTGCTCAACAGGAGCGCAATATTCGAGTGATGAGGTGTAACCATAAAGAGGCGATCCTCGTAAAAGGTATCACGCCGAAAACAACATACCGCCGAGGTTGAAGCCGATCTTTTAAGAGAACCGTTGTAAAACGCACAGTTTCTAGATAAATGAAGCTTTCATACGTATGCTAATCTGCGGATTAACGCGTAAAAGATAGAGAGAAGTGAGAATATTTATCATAATTTGATCTTTTCTGAGCAATTTATTTAATGTCAACGTGTGGGAGATATCCTACTCTACCTTGTTGTACGATGATAAGAGGATGCATTTTCTGGGGTAGTTCATTTCTCTCTTAATAAAAAAAATGTTTAATTATATATATGAATAAAAATAATAGAAAAATTATTAAACGAAACAAAACAAATAGTGGCTTCAAGAATAAATCCAATACAAGAAAAGTGCCCATAAGACAAATTATTGTGATTTACTCATAGGAATCTTTTTGGACACACTTGATTTCAAGCTCGAAATTATATAAAATTTTATGCATGCGATGCAGTGTGTAATTTTAATACAAAATGTTTCTCATGAAGAATGCTGTTCCGCATTATTAAAGCTGAAGTCACAAGGGCTTTTACTGCACATACATCTTTCCGAGTAAATTACTCGTCAATCACTGGACTACAACATCATCTTAAATCTTGGCAATTTATAAAAGAATATAAAATATATTGTAGTTTATATTAATTTTTAATTTTGTTGCACGAAAAGTTATACAAATTTAATAAATGTAAAATATTATTGAATTTTGCTATTGCAACTGTCGATTGATGTTTTTCCTTTATAAAATTTATAAAATTTCTACATAGTTTCGATGTTTACATGTTACCGGCGTGTTTAATTCAATAAATTGTGCAGCATATAAAATGTTATTTTATCGCTTTTTCTGATGTTACAAAATTTAACGATTTTTGCGATAGCTTTTCGCTTGAAACGACGTAATTATACAGTCGTTTATAACGCTGTTTTATAAATTATAAATTATTGCGAACAATATTTTATAATTGCTTTAGACGGGGCGATGTATGATCGGTGTGAATGCGGCTTGTCTAGGCTCTCAGGGTTCCATCCTTTAATGATTCAAGAGGCACTTAAATTAATTGGTCTCCTAATGTTAGGAATCAACGGAGTTAAAACGATATAATAAAGAAGCAATACGCGGCAATAATAAACGGAGAAAATTAGTGATGTATTATCAACGTTTATCTAAATTGGGAAAATTCTTGGATTTTTTAATGCTTTTGTTTTGATTATATTTCCTAGTATATGCACTTTAATTAGATAGATCATTTTTCGAGAAATGGAATAAGAAATTGATAGGTGCATGAAGCATTATATTTTCGTGGATCATTCGTCTCTTTTAATCATGCGATTAATCTTTCACGTTCAACATTCGGTAGAAATATAATTTCCTCTTTAATTTCTAAATATGTTCTTAAATATCTCTAAAATTATTTTTGAATTGCAAAATTTAATATCTAACGATGAATACTAATCTAAAGATGGTAACCGTGATTGCATCGTTTGTGACTTGTTAAAATTTTCTGCTGTTTATGTAATACGAATAGACTGCACATTTCTACGAAGTTATTACTTTTAATTTAGAAAGACTAGGGCTCAAAATATATCTCTTTCTTTCTGAATTATCGAGTTAAAAAGAGATGTCGATAGAATTGAAGAAAAATATTGATATATTCAATTTTTTTAAATGGAGCACAGATGTTAAGACAAGGGAATGTACACCTTATTTTTCTACTGTGCTTTTGAGATTTCGTTTATTGTGCTAATCCATGCAAGATTCACAGATATCACACTGATGATAGTTTCACGTTACTTTCACGATTGCGTTTCGATGAGATTCCGTCGCAATATACAATAGAAAAATGCGCGTCGCGTGCGATTAACGTCGGAAGTGTCGTACGAAGTGACGTGAGATTATTCTGTTGTGTGGTGATTAATATGCGCGATTGTAATTAACCGTTCTTTCGCGAGTGTTGTATTGTGTTGTATGCGAATGCAGCGATGAAATCTGACAAGAAAGGAAGAGGCCTAGTAAGCACTAGGCGACGGCAAAGCAATCGTGAGATGAATAAATTATTTTTTATTTTATTAATAAATCTATAAAAATTATATATATGATATAGAAATATATATAAAAAAATAATATAATATAGGATAAATAAATGTGACATTTTATAGTGATCTGTTATTTTGGATTAGAGTATATAATTTTGGAATTGATAGGAACAATTCATTTATTTAATATTTTATACGTAAAACTGTACTGTCCATAAAACGAGATTTTTAGAATAAAAGTAAATTATCTATAGAATATACTAATAATGAAAGAAATTCTATAAAACTGAATGGTATTAAAGAATAGAGTATTCTGTTAGATTTTTCTTTGGTACGCATTTGACAAACACAAATGACAAATATAAAAGGCAAGAAATATTGTCCTGTCAGATTAATTATTAACTAATTTATTTATTGAAAAATACACATATATGAACTAACTTATTTATTAAATATAAATATCACCCAAAAAAAAAATATTCTGCCATTTAGCGGTTCCGTGTTAATGTCAGAGGATTTTCCATTTATATATGACCTCAAGAGAATACTCTACAAAATAAAAGAATTTCGTATAACCTTAAAGTACTGGATTGTGGTCCTCTCAATACTAGAAGAATGTCTTGCATGTACTGACATGCACGCGTACTACTGTAACATTGTAAATGACAAACTTCTTCTAACAAGTAAGCGTGCTGCTAGTATTTTGTATATCCTTTTATTTCAAAAGGCTATTCGAGTTATTATAATAGAATTTTCTATAGAGAAATTTATTTTTGATCACAGCTCATATATCCTCATTTTTATAGATGAATACATGTTATAAATACACGCACCTAATTAATGTAAGATTAATATAAGTTTTTTTGCTTAGAGGAAATGCTAAGAGGAATTCTCCGCTTATCGACAGAATATTTTTTTTTTGGGTGATGCTGATAATTATTAATTGTATTTATTCTTATAACAAATACACTAGATTTATTTTTTTAATTTTTTAGAAAATTAGAATTTATTTATTAATCATTCTTATTTATTAACAACTTGATTTTATATTACTATTACGTTTAATAATGTGAGGTCTAATAACTTTCTCGTATGTATAATATTACGGAGTGTTTCACAACAGTTATACTTCGACATACTTTAATAGAGCATCAGGTTTCACGAGTGTGGTCATTTCGTTTCTCATAATTGGTGTTGAGTGTATATTTCTAGTTAATATTTAATTGAAATATAAATATTGAACCTTCTGCATTTTTAAAAAAAACTTTATTCTGTGAATAACATCTGATACGCTTTTTGGTTCAAGATTAAATAATGACTCTAAATATATTAGCCAGAGTGTCTTGCTTTATTAACCGCTGTATTTGTTTGAATAAATAAGGATGGGACGATGTGTCACCAGTAAGTTTATTACTTTCGCGGGCCATTCTTTTTCTTTTTGTTATTGTTACAAGCGAGTGTTATTTATGAGTACGTGTTTAAAGAACTCTGTATTTTTAATATTTCAAAGTAAGTGACAAAATTCTCATGTGTTTTTATGTTAATTCTAAAATTTTGAACATGTTTCGAGAAAATTTTAATCCATGAACATATTTCGAGAAATTATCTCAATAATAGAAAACGTCTTAAATCTATCAGTGTACATGTGTGTAATTGAAAATTACATACGAGGAAAGTATTTATATAAACTATGAACCCTTGAGAAAATATTTTATTCAATATTTTAAACATTGTTTAATAAATCAGCGATGGATCAATCCCTGGTAGAAATTTCATGCATTTTTTTTAGCAGTTACTAAACAGTTACACCAATTTCTGTCTATTAACTGAGAACGAAAACTACTTAATTACTACGAATTAATATATTACAATATCTTGGAAAGAATCAGCCCAAATGTTGTATAAGAAACTCAATAAAACTTTACTCAGTTTTTATCCAGTTTCTACACATTATTTTAACTAGTATATATATATATATATATAATTTAATCTATTAATACTAGACAATAACTGGGCAGTGTCTACGTAAATTGCACAAATTCTTACCAGGAAAACTGCTTCAGTCTCTGAATAAAACTCTATCAAGTTCTTGTCCATTTCCTACTCAGTATTGATACAACTAATGCGAATACAGTAATATTAGATAGTAATTGGATAGGTGTTTAGAAAAACTGCATACATTTCTACCAGGGATAGTATACTCTTTTTACACGAACTATTAAAATTGTTTCCCGTTTTAATTTTTTTGTATTTAAAAAATTTGTGTATCTATAAAAAATATCTATATCCAAAGAGGAATGATAAGAAAATTTAAATATTTTATATTATATATAACTTTTATATATACATATATATTTTATATATTATTTTTTACATTAAAAAATTCATTTTAAGAAAATATTTATTTTATAATTTTATTTTATAGCAATATTAGTTTTCGTCCAATGACTTTTATCATTGCCATTCCGCATTCTATAGATTTGAAGGATTTTTCCTTCTTGCTTCCTTCGAAGTTATTGCCTACAAAGAAGAGGTCGTTAACATTTTGTTTTAAAGCATTATAAGTTAAATGCATATTTTACATTGCATATGTATTACACATAAGGCAGATTTCATATATAATAAATGCAAAAAGTATTTATACGGAGCAGATTTTTATATTAAAAAATGCTTGATTTTTGTATAAAATATGAATAGGGGAGACCGGAGGTAAGTGGGCACCAGTTAAGCTGGCATTTGAATTTTGAGTGGCAAAAATATCTTATGAGTTCCCAATTTATATTGTAGATAGCATCTCGTGTCTTCTTTACCAACGAAGTTTGGTTAGTTTAGGTGCCGCGTTGTTATGTTTAGATAATCAAACGTGTTTTTGATAGTCAAAAGTAATTTTTGAGATTTCATTTTCCGAATCACATCATTTTTTGTGTATATGAATGAAATGAAGTTGCAAACACCAAAACTTGTTATTGCTATCTTGTAGTCTTATAATTACTCTATAAAACGCTAATGATCATTTGACTAAAATCGTTTACTTTGTTACTGAAAATTTCAAAATGAAAAAAAAAAACGTGCCTACTTAGTCTCGGTCTCCACCTATTGATAAAAAATTTATTAACAATAAGAAAAAGAGTACGTTCAGAGGATGTATTATGGAATTGTTTGGAATGGATTCCGCTCGGAATTATTCTGTTTTTACTAAAAAACAATCGAAAGGGAATTATTCTAGAGAATTGAATAATTTTAATCGTAATCCATGCCGAATAATTTCACCTGATTTACCTAACAATACATACTTTTTAATATGTTATAAACAATAAAGCTTTGCGAAAATAATTTTATTCATGATTTTAGAAGCTAAATTTCTTGATTATACGAATACTTTTTGTACGTCCAAATAATATAATTTCTTCTTTTATAATTAAGGTAATAAGTATATTTTAATTATTATACGTCTTTTTAGATAAAATTTTGAGAAATATGCGATCTATATTTTCTTTCTTAATAAATTGCTAATTAATGTTTACTTTTTAAAAATGAGATCTTTTTAAAAAGATATCTCCCTTGTACGCGCGAATACTTTTTGTATTAATTGTGTATATAACTATGTATACATATACAGGGTCCGCCAAAAGCCGCCTATTAGATTCTGGCATCAAAAATAGGGTGTTCCATTTAAAAAAATTAATTTGACCTTGACCTGACCTTGGCGCCACTCAAGGTCAAGCGGATGTGATCAGTGAATAGATCTTTTAAACTCTACAACTTTTGTCTGAAACATTTTTCTCAAAAATGCATATTTTCCGAAATATTCAGCCAGCTAGAGACTTTTGGCGGACCCTCTATATGATTATTAAAATATTGATTACCTTCTTCTTTGCACTTTTGTAATATCTCTTTCATTTTATCTATGTTACTCTTGTCACGAATGATCGTCGTAAAATAATCCAGCGTATCATCCCACTTTATTCCACCTTCTTCATCGAGCTAGAATTGAAGCATATAATTAAATAAAAAAAGTATAAGATTTAGTTTAAATGTATTTATAATATGTATATCTATGTGATTAAATCATGTATATCTGTGATATCTGATATATGATCAGATTTTTTAATCTTTTATCTTTTAGATATATAAAATCTAGATATATAAAAAAGATATAAGACAAAATATATATAATCTTTTATTTTTGTATTCCACACATACTATTCTGATAATGCAATTATGTATGCACTAATTATCTATTTACTATTGTATGTATTTTTAGATGAATTTTGATAACTTGATTTGATTAATTTAGCGGAATGTGAGCTATATTAGAATTTAGATAAATTTTGTCTATGTGATTTAATTATTTCTCTTTTTTTTTTTCATATGTGCGTGGGTGCGTGCGCGCGCGAGTGTGTGTGTGCGTGCGCGTGTGTGAATATTTGAATACGCGTATATTTATAATACTTACCAAGTTTTTTTTTTCTGCTACACAGAAAGGTATCTCGGGGCTGGCTATCTCTGCAATATATGAATTATAGGTAACACAATTCCAGATGCATGAAGCAGTATATAGTCATTCCTAGAGAATTGGTTTTTGAAAGTGATATTGAATCGCGGAATATGAATTTTTTACAAAAAGCTTTCTCTCTCTTTTTCTCAGAGACAAATTTGATTATGATAATTGAATATATATATATAAAATATATACATATGATATTAAGGGAGGCCACAATACACTGACCATAATACCACCTTCTCCTCTAAATAAAATAATTAAGAGTATAGCATAACTATACATACACACATATTTATTTTTGTATACTATAAATTATTTTTTAAATACACTATAATAAATACACTATGATAAATACACTATAATAACTACTTAATAGTGCAAACAATAATAACGAAATTAAAATTGCTAAAAGTATTTCAATGTACGACATTGTAAAAATAATACTTCAAATATATGTATATATACTACATATAAATATAAAAGAGGAATTAAAATATCTTACATTGTGCTATTTTATTAAGCACTAGATTTAATTCTAAAACATAAAGTTTTGATGACAGCTGTGATGATAATTTTTTTAAATGACGACGTAAATTATGTAGATTTGTTTTATTATTTTGTTTACTTAACATATTAATAAAATATTTAATAATTATTTTTTATTTAATTAAAACACTTACTCAATAAACCCAATTTTACGACACATTGTGCAAACGTCATATGAAAATTAATCAGATCTTTAAGGTCGATTGCCTTTGATATTAAATTATTTATGATATTATCGATTATCATCGCATCACCGACTGACTGAAATGCACAAAAAAGTTAGTACATCTTTATTCTATATTTCTTACTCTATATTTTTTTCTGTAAATAATAACCTATTATGTAACAACTATTACAAGAAATACTCAAAAATGGAGATTTACTCAACACTAATATTTTAATGAATTGCTAAATCTGGAATTTAAATAATTTTTGGAGATATGTAATTTGAATTGACGCTTAAATGAAATTTATAAATATTCTAATTGAGCCATATTAATAATTTATTTAATAATTTATATTATTATATATTTGAGGGTTAATCGAATCTTTTATATACGGTTATTTTAAAGAAGATTATTTGTCACTAATTGTCTTACTTACTAATGTACTTACGACGGCGACCAGTATACATGTAGCGAACACTAGAATCTTCATTTCGTTTATCCTGAAATGTAATTGTAATTGTAAGATGTAATAATTCGTACGTTCGTTACAGCACACTCCAAGACCGCTACTGACATGTCGATATTTCGAATATGATATATATAGATACTTAATTTGATTGTACAAATTATACAACGCAATACTACTTGCACGTTATTTATCGCGTTTATACAGATGTGCTGATTGTCCTATCTGTAAAACTGACATGACGTCCTTTTTATTTCGTATAAACAAGTGTGCTGGATTTTTGCGTGCGTTAATGTGTTTTTCATTTTGTGAAAAGTCAATTTTTATTTCAAGTATAAAAATGATGCAAAATAAAACTTATATAACGTTTAACATGTGAAGCAGGTAATTCCGACTATTCTGAAATTAATTTAGACTTTCTTTTGTTTTTTGTTTGTTCTACAATTTCTGCATTATTCTTTTTGATAAATGTTAAGAGATTTTATTTTTTAATTTTTACTAGAACATATGGTATATATATATATATAAAATTATACATAAAAACTTTTTTAAAATAAATGAAGCTCTCGAATATCAACTGATGTTTTACTTGCATTTTTTTCCTTAAAGGATAAAATATTTAAAAAATAATTTATCTGCTGACTTTAAGAACACTTGTCGAAACAGTAATGTAAATACAGAAAATTACACAGGAACTTTATTTAAATAAATCGAACTATGATTTATGGATTTTTATCTCAATATGTTTGCAAAATTTGTACATCGCTATTCAGTTATGATTCTTTTAAAAGTTTTTTCAAAAATAATACTTAATAGTGGTAAAATACACAGAAATATACATAGTGTTTAGCTAAATAATAAACACGTTAGATTTTTTTGTAGCACGATGTGGTAATTATAGTTCAACTTAATATGATCAACTTCAATCAACTTAATATGACCAGTCGTTAATATGACTGGTCTTATTTACAATGACGTTGCCTTTAAAATGTACTACTGTAAAGAAATACGGCAATGCTATGTGATAGAATGGGAAGACGTTTGTGACCGGACTCTGCGGAGATACGACGCGGATAAGGCTTAGGGGAACTAAAAAATCCAGGCTTACCCACTATGATAGATCACGTATTCGTTGCGCCATGGATAAATCGCGAGCGCAGCCCGTGCACTTCTTCTACGCCGTGGTACCTGTGGGCCGAAAATAATTAACGACCTTCTTACATCATCCGCTCTAAGAGCCTCGCTCGATTCCACTTGGGTATTATGCCCCCGGCGAGAAACATACAACTAACAATAACGGCGGGTAATAAAACGCGGCGAGGAACCGCGTGATGTAGCGTTCCAAGGTAAACGAAGAACGGAACGCCTTACGCGGCTGCAAACCATCGTGATTCATGTTTGCTTTTGTCAGATCGATGATCTCGTGACTCGGCTGTGTGCCGATCGATATTTCTCGAAACATATTCGCGATCTTTATTGCCGCGGGATCTACCAAAGATCATTAGAAGGGAGAACCATATTTTTGCGTCAAGCATGCTTGCCTTTCTTGACTTGTTACGTATTCATCTACTTTTTATAGAAAGTAGAAAACGTGCGAAGTTACACGTGGAACATAAAAAATAAAAATATGCACCATTCCGAGCCAAACACGAACGCAGACATAAAAAACATGTTTTCCGAGGTCATGCAGATCGCAAAAATATTGCATTACGGGCAAACAAAATATATAGATATGTATATATTTTTTCAATTTATATACATATATATTTGAATCACGTTTTTTTTTTCTAGAAGGAGGCGTCAAAAAGATAAGAAGGTCACCTTCAATTTTTATATGGAATTATATAATTTTTTTACATAATATGATTCCCCTAATTACTCTGCATATAAAAGTATTAAGGTAGAGATATAAAAAACCAATACTTTACGGGATATTTTATATTGAGATGAGATATTAAATATCTCGTAAACTATTAAATTTTTTATGATTCTTAATACTTTTATGAATAGAATAATGAGATGAATCAATTGGTGCAAAGAAAATACATAGTTGCTTTAAAAAAATATGTATGCAAAATGGATAATTTTTAAAATAAATATTTAATGTCAAAATGTGCTTGAATAAAGCATGAAATATTTCGTAAACTGTTGGTGGTTTTTTGATATCTCTACTTTATGCATTAGAGAAATCATATTATGTAAACAAAATATATAATTCCATTTAAAAAAATGGAGATGACCTTCATATCTTTCTGTTGCCTCTACTTAGAAAAAAACAAACAACGTTAAGTCCAAAATAGCTCCTCAACAATCACTTTCTATTTTCATCTGAAACATTTTTTTATATTACATTTACCTTGCTTACTTTTCGAGATATTGACTGGAGAAATTAAAATAAGATTACCTGTACATAAAACTTAGTAAATTTATTCTGTAAATACGAAAAAAGTCTTTATTTTTTATAAATAAAATATTCTTTTAAACAGTAAGAAATGCAATATTAACTGTTTGCATATTTTAAATTCTCTCTTGTGTAAGCTTTGTGTTTTTTCATACAATAAGATCATTCAGATCCTGAAGTTATAAAATAGAGATAATACATGATTTAACAATAATTTACTTGTTTATACAAAATAATAATAAATAATACATAAGCAGTACATTTGATCGTATTATGCAAGTAATTAAATTCGCAATATATATTGTATATCCAAAATATTGCTGTATTAGTGCACTGTAATGCGAATATACAGATTATTATTATATTTCAGAATATTTGAAAAAAAAAAGATAATCCCATTTACGTGTTTATTTTGTTTTTAATTATGTTGATGGTTCTTGTTAATTTTTGGAGAATAAATATAATTATTTTAATACTTTTTCCATATAACGTGCGCGCGGTAGTAATGAACTTTGAATGGGAACAATTTGAAATAGTAGACAATACACAGATGATCCATAAAGGATTATTTTAATTATATTTTTTGTAATTTGTCTTCTAATTTTTTAATTTAATTTCACATACAATAGCCAGTTATAAACACCCTTAAAATTCGTATATGTATGCTATATCTCATTTTATACATGTATCTATTAAAATATTTTTGTAAATATTAGATTATAGATAGAGAAAACATATCTTCCGTTTCTTCTCTCGCTCTTTCTTCTTATACTATTACGCTTTAGGTGTAATGAACATTAATGAAGTGCGTCGAAGAGTACACAGGAAATAAATAGTTCCCGTTAATGATCATGAGAAAATAATATCTTATTATCAATCACATGTGTAGCTTGATCATTCTACTCGGTGGAGCAGAGTAATTACCAATCGATTCACGATAACTTTTGACGGAAAGCCATCAGGTTGAAGCGATTGCTGGCCAATCGATCGATGCGCGGGCGGGCACGTGTGACCGAAATTGATGTGTGGAAACGCGTTAGCTTTGTTCATAATTCTACATTTGTCTCTTTTACTCAATTTTGCATTGGCCTTTGCAACTATTCTATCTTCCGTTTTGTTTCGTATTCAAAACTTACCTATGCACATGTTCTTGCGTTATGAAACTACATTGAGAAAAAAAATTTGTTCCATGAAAAAAAAATTATTTGACTCAACAAAATGCTGCGGTCGAATACGTGCAAATAAATATCATTGTAATAAGAACAATATATTTTGTTAAATTATTATGATGATTTTAAGTTTGACTTAACCAAAATAAGATACTGTAGACAAAATGTTTATTTGATTCTAGAGTATATTTAATTGAATAGCAATTTATTTTGATAATTAAGTATAGCATTAATTGAGACAATAAAGGATGTGTACGAAGGCAAATCAATAGGTACCCGTGTTTGAAGACAGGTGACGTTGCTGATGCAAGTTGGCATTACCATCGTGTACTACCATCTTTCAAATGACGCCATACAAACTTTCAGAATGATTCATGCAATAGTCTTAATTTGACAGCAATTCGTAGTGAGAATGTTTGATGTTTTCCGATACAATGGAAAAAGAACAATATCGATTCGTGATTCGCTTTTTATTTTTGGATGGAAAAACGTGTGAAGAAATAAAAACGAAGTTGGATGCCGTCTATAGGCCTGTTCTTTTTGCACCAGTTCATCTTTCTTCCTTTTCTCTCGAGGAGGATACATTTAAACTAATCTTATACTTCTTTTAGCTGATACAGTATCAGGCTGCTCCTCGCCCTGATGAAGTGAACTGCAAGGTTCACGAAACGTTGGCATTCCAAGAATGAATCTAAACACGGAGAAAACTCGCGAAACGCAAGATTGTCACATAGGTAATAGCAATATATATATTATACAGGGTGTCAAATAAGTCCCAGGACGGCTGAATATTTTCTCAAGTAAGGTATTTTTGAAAAAGGTCTTTGAAAAAGGTCATTTCTGAAGTAACTTTCAAGGAGGAATTTATGTTATTTAGCAACCCATTAATCAATCTGTAAATTATCTTTTAGGAATAATAAATTTATTTGACTATTGTACTATATTTTTGATTAAATTCATGTACATGTACATATATGTATGTATATCTCACTTCAAGGAAGTTATTTGACGTTATTAGCAATTACACCCATCGTGGTGGATACTTTGTCGTGCCTACCGATTGGACGGTAACGCCATAATATCCGGTATTAATTTCCGCGAGTGCATAGCGCAAGAAGGGAGTAACGAATCGCACGGCAGCGCAAGTATATCTCTCATCTCGCGCTTTTTTTCTAGGTACTTTGTATCGTATAGCGCGCCAAGCGCGCACGGTGGTATCAGTTTCGCGGGACGGATAGAGAAAATATAAGGACAGCTCTCTCGTGTGCGTGCTGCGCGTGAAAATTTACTGCTCTGTTGGCTCGGGGCGCAACTATGTAAGCGTACAAAGTATCACTCAGAAAAGAGTGTCTCTGATCGTCGCAATGGCGGAGGGGGATAAATGGACGAAATGAGAGAGATAGACAGGGAAAAGAGTTGGTTCTAGGTACCAATAATGAAGGTAACAATGTTGACCTCGCGGGTCAACAGACCCTCGCAACGTAATCGTTAACTTCTCTCTGTCTCCGTTTCGATCTCTCGTTC